ACGTCTCGACGACTCCGGGACGATGCGGTCGACTTCCGTTGATGGAAAGTTGTCGATCCGAGGTCGGGAGATGGAGACGAAGATGGGTGCGAGACACACACACAACAACAGGTCCGTCACTTGGAACTTTCGGGAGAAGAAGCCGTCGCGTCCTCGAATTTCCGGGGTTTTATCCGTTTTCTCTCAGATTCCCCTTTTCGATTGGTCTCCCGTCGTCACCTGATGACAATTCGAAACCTTTCGGGAGCGCGGGAGAGGTCAAAATCGAAGTTTAATTCGATCTCCAACCGGAAATGGTCGACGGACTTACATTCTTCTATTGTTTAAAAGTTTTCTGTTGTCTAGCGTCGCGTTTTCATATCAAAAATCTATTTCTAACTAACATATTTTTTTCTTTAAAGCAATTATTTTAACGCGAATTTTAGTGAGGGTTCGGACCTGTCCAGAGCCTCACACTTTCATACAATTAGTTCATTTCTTAGATTTATTTTACATGTTATATAAATTTGTGGTTAGGTTTTATTTCGATTCACGATAGATTTTATACATGACTATTTAATTTCATTTTTAATATCGTTGTAAACGAACACTTGTTATTATTAAGTTTGATTAGAAAGCCATTATACTTTGTCTATTGCAACGTTCATGTTTGGAAGAGATCTAGAAGACACAAACCTAACAGAATATATCTTAAAATGTTAACAAACGTTAGTAAATTTTACTAAAATATTTTACGTTAATAAATTAATAAGACACCTTCATTTGTCTAATATTGACATTCACTTTTCTGGTAAGATACGATCCTATCGTATCATACCAGAAAAGTGAATGTAAATATTAACTCTGCAAAAATGCAAACTTTCAAATCTACAGACGTGTCGCTTGGTCAGCTGCGTAACCGCATAAGTATAGTACTAATATTTTTATTTGGTTTGATGGAATACGGGAGATTGCCAAAGAGGATGCCTCCCGGAAGGCTTAAACAAACTGCTAGTGTTTGATACTTTTAGCCAGCCGGCCTCTAGTTGACCCTGCTAAACAAGAGCTTTCTATGATAAACTGTTCCCTATTTAGGTGTTTAAACACTTGAACAACTTAAAACACGGAAAGTTCACGCAACTAGTCCCTTGTCAGCGGTAAACTCGGCCAAGAAATTTAGTAGTTTAAGCCACCAGTAGGGCGTATTTGTAAGAGGAGCATATATACAACATTATGTACATTTAAGACAATAATTATAAGTTACAATTACAAAAATTTCATGATTGCCATCTTCAACATGTTTTTAACTTTATAAAACTTATTTTCAGCGGCGGCCTTATCCATTGCGAGGCTCTGGGCGGCAAATCTTTGCGAGGCCCTTGTCCTTTGTGCAAAGTATGTGAATTGAAATAGTAGGCACTTATTAATATTAATATATACTGTACTATAAATTAAATTTATTTTATTGTTATAACTAATAGCCAAGGATAAAATAAAAAGTTTTAAATATCAACTTTTTTCTACTTGGTTGTTGCGCGAGGCCCTTCCAAGAGCGAGGCCCCGGGCGATTGCCCTGCTCGCCACCCCCTAAGGCCGCCACTGCTTATTTTATAAGCAAGTTTTTCTCAGTCGAAGTTCAAGTTAGTCAGAATTTACAAATACTTTGATATCAATGTTTTTCATGGTCTAAATAATATTTTTAATGTGTGTGAGATCCGAATAGTTCCTGAGTCTAATTAACAATTTAAATATAACGTTAAATTTTTAAAGTAAAATATTATTTCATTTTGGTGTGAAAATATCGTTTTTTTTTAACTTGGGAAAACTGATAAAAGAGCCACTTCCTTTAACGAAAGCAGACACATCCTTCTGTTTTCCACTTATCTATCACAAATCTCACCACACTGGGAATTGCCGACCCCTCAATAATTCCCCATTTCATCCGTTCACGTGAGAGAATCCAAATATGCTGATTGGTCACAAATCATGAGATATAGTCACAGATCGGCATGATTCGAGGAGAACGTCGGGGAATCTCATATTGGAAAGAAGTTCCCATATTGTCTCCCTAAGGCCAACGTCCTTAAGGCTGGTATACACGGTAAGGAAATCCTCAAAGGATGTGCTTAACAGACGAAAAAAACTAGGATATAACTGGCTGGATCGAACATAGTAATTTACAAAACTTCTTAAAATATCTCCCAACGTATAAAAAATTATTTTTATTTAAAAATGGATAGATAGAAAAAAAAATCACGGTTANTGTGCTTAACAGACGAAAAAAACTAGGATATAACTGGCTGGATCGAACATAGTAATTTACAAAACTTCTTAAAATATCTCCCAACGTATAAAAAATTATTTTTATTTAAAAATGGATAGATAGAAAAAAAAATCACGGTGAATCCTCAAAGGATTTCCTTACCGTGTATACCAGCCTTTAGGAGTACGTCGAGGAGAGACGTCTCCCACATATTGTCTCCATAAAGCCAACGTCCATAGTCGTATACAGTCAAGTCTAATAATGACTTAATTTAGGAGTAAAAGAAGAATATTTAATATTGTGCCATATCAAGACCTCTCCATGCAACGAAGTAGGATCATCGAATACAGATGAACATAAAGACAAAGTAATTTGAGGTAGTGTGATTATAAATGAATTTGTGAGCTCTCTCTCTCGAAGCGTATACAGTATTTAATTTTTCCATTGTCTCTCATTCGATTCATTTTACTTTTGAATAATTCCATTTGTGTAATTTTATTTACTTTTATTTTATTAAATCTTTTATTATTTGTTTAAAGATATGTCTCATCTTTGTCTGAATCACATCAATATTATCTCACACGCGTGTTAATCCGCGTATCTAAGTTTGATTAACTGGTGTCAAAGAATCCTGACGTAGATCGGGACTTCACAGTTCGGATCGGTTTAAATATTAATAGCCCTCCTAGAAAAAGATTAGAGATCGGATCTCTCGATCCGAAACTCCGAGAACTAGTTTTACCAACTAGCCGCCGAGTAAGCGATACAAGAGTATTAACTATTCCGTACCCCCGGCTAATCTCACATGTGCATAGACTATATTTAAACATTTTAATGTCGAAATTCAAACTGTAAACAAGATTTATTTTTATCATTATCAATTACGAAAGAAAGCAACTTATCGTTAAATTTTGCATAATTATATAACATGTAATCAGATTGATAATATATATTGTGACAAAAAAATAACAGGATATAGATAACCCCGAGGTGATGATTATCTTCTAGAGTAATAAATATATTTATTACTTTTGTATCTATTTTTCTTTATATAATTCTGCATATAAATATAAGAGCGTGTAGAGCTGAGGAAATTGAGAAGCCAAGAACATTCCTATCGGGACGTAAAGCAGCTGAAATATTTTAATCGTTCTTCCAGGTAAGCATTAAATTCTAGTATACGACTTAAATAGTATAAACATTTCTAAATGACAGTTTGTGCTTTTAAATTACATTTCACAAATTCCTATATTTTTCCATTATCATAGAAAATTTTAACTTACATAAATTTATTTAAAATATAAAATTTGTGTATTTTTTTCTATTTCCATATTATTGTATTTAAAAAATATAAATAATTAATAAAGAAGAATATTTGGATCGTATGTAACATATGAGTATCAATTTGCATTTGCATTGAAGTGTTTCATAAATTAATATTTTATAACAGTTAAAAAGTAATATTGTTTTGTTATTATTAAAGTATAATCTATTTTAATTAATGCATATAAGTTGAGTAATTTATTCTAAGTTGTGTAATAAATATTTCTTTCTATTTACGTGAGTTGAGACTCGAGTATTATGCACGAGTTGAGACTAGTTGCATTTAATATTATGAGAATATCTCTGCTCCTCTATTTTATATAATTTAATTACCGCGTGTTAAAGAGAGTATAAAATGGAACTTTCATCGGCATCGTAAAGACGAGAGCTAGAAAATTTGTATCTTTTAGCATTTGATTGAGCTGATCGTAAAATCGGTCAACTTGTACCTTATTAAATCCAACAACTATCGCAGTAACGGTTGAGTCTGGAGTTCTTACAACAAACCTGAAAATTTTTCTCAAAGCTATAAAAAATTTTTTTCTGCCATTCTCTTCTGTTTATTAAATGAATGGGGAATTTTTAGACTATCTAAATCGAACGCCAATTTTTAAAATTTCAATCTAGTTAGTAGCATTGGCCAGTTGTGTAGTTCTTTCATATGAAGTTGCATTGAATAGTGTTCGGAAAACGCTCTTTTTATTTTATCTTCGTTCCACTTGCCTCTTTTACTGGTTCTTCCTGTAAGTTATGGAAATTTTGTGCTGGTTTTGTAGAAAAGGAATTACATTGCTTAAGTAAAGGTTATTAACCGTAACAAAAAAAGGATATTCATCTTTAAAAATTGCAGCCAGGCATTATGAATATTTATATTTAATTTCAGGAAATATGAACGGAACAGCTGAAGATTATGAAAAATTATGCCCGAAATTTCAGCCTCGCTACGTAGAATCAGCTATAGATTCACACTTTCCGACCATGGAATGGTCCGATGAGGATATCATTTTGGATATTGGATGCGGCCCAGGAAGAACCACCAAAAATATTATTTTGCCAAAATGCCCGAAATTAAAGAAAATCGTCGCTATTGACATCATACCAAATTACATCGAGTATGCCAGAAAAACATATTTTGACGAAAAAATTGAATTTAAGATTCAAGATATCATTCAAACGTAAGTATACAAATGGAGAGCTTCTATCTACTATTTTTCTATTTTAACAGTAGTTTGGATTTACCTTATTTTGAATGGTAACTTGTTTCGATTACTTAACAATGGACATCACTCTCTTAAAAGCAGTAATCACTTTTTCATACCGCAATGCAGTAAAATGACAAAAACACATTTGTTCAAAAAATAAAACCTAACGTTCGTTTTCTGTTCTTTCCATTTTACTCTTATGTGAGATAAGCAGTGGGCCACGGGTAAATTCCCCAATTGACCACTTACTTTGCAGAGGCTAATAAAACCCGATCTCGGGGTCGTTGGATGGCTAGGAGGGCAAATCGAGTGGGGAGTGCGTCAGTAAGTCGGCAGGCGTCCTTAATTGACAGGAGACAGGTTTAAAACTAAACAAGCATTTATTATATAACTAACTAAGCAATACAAAAAGGTTACAATAGGTTGGCTATATCTAAGAATAAATGAGGATAACATAAGTAAGGTAAAATTTGGACAACGAAGGAAGATAGAAGGTCCGAATAGAGAACCCATCTCAACCATAGGTATGGCTGTCCCTATGTTCAAGTTTAGAGGACACAAGTTTTCCAACTCATATAAAATTGTCCGCTCGAATACTATCGCTCCTTTCGAAGGCGTGATTGGAGGAACGCTTTTAGCGCAGGAGAAGATAATTCTCAACCGTGACAACAAGCGAATTATTTTACCAAATGGTAAAGTCAGTCATTTTTGTTCATGGAGAAAGAAAAAAAGGACAGGCCGTAGAAGAAAGACAACAGGTGACTGGACTGAAGAAGAGGCGAATCAACTCCACTTCATGCGCTCTACGCATCCCACAGAACAGTCACAGGTGATTCGAATTGTCCGAAATGACGTCAAAACAGAAATCAAAAGAATCAACGTAGAAACAGGGGAAACCGAACTTTATTCAGAGCAGACTTCCACCTCTCAAGAAGACCCGGAGATAGAGAAACAGAAGGAAGTGAATCGGGGTGAAGCCGAAAATCAAAACTCAACGCTTCAAACCAGCTTGAACATCCTTGCTAGCTGGATTCGGGCCGTGTTGATCATCATTTCCTTGATAGGAGGACCAAGCATGTCCATAGAAGATANGATATTTTTTTGTTCTAACTTTCCTTTTTTTTTCACTCGCGCGCAATTATATACCTCTTATAATTTAAAAGATCGCGTTTCGTCGCGCTGCATTATTAAATTTTAAAGTCGTTTGCGTTCTCCTTTTTCTGTTAATCTCGCAAAAGGATGCAAAATTTTCGCTCCTACCAACACCAAAAAGCCAGTGATTTCATGCGGATTATTTGGGTTTTAATGCGCGTTTCTACTTTCCTATTTCCACAAAATATAACAGCTACTTTATAATTTCTTCTTGCTATTTCTACAAAGTCTTCTATTAATTTCTTCTAATTAAAATATTCGTCCGCTCGCTTTTAAAACGGATCAGACTCACAGAAGAGCGCAAAGAAGTGATTCTCTGCTTCCTCATATTGATACTCATAAGCAAGTGTTTCGCGTCGATTATAACTTTTTTTTTTTTTCTACATCGCATAATCCTTTTTCTGGATCTACAGAATTTATTCTATATTTCTATTAGTCGGTCTATTTTTACGGAGTATTCGATATATTTTCTACAATTATCTTATCTATTTTTTTCTCAAATTCTTATATAATTCTACTTATTCTAATTTTTGCAAATTCGCATATATATTTTTCTATAAACTATTCTATTCGTATAAGTTTATATGTATCTCTACTATTTCGCAAGAGATCGCTTTGGCAGAACAATTGTTTGCTTAGCTAAATTGCAAAAACAAAACTGAGAACTCGATTAGATAATTGATTATCCTAATCTGCCATTCTCCTGCCGCAAATTAAAACTACGCGTGTAAGCTTTTTTCTACGCCCATGCTTCTATTCTAGGTTTATTTTAGATCTCTAAATCTATGTTTCTAAATCTATATCGAAATCTAAATTGCTCATCGGTCGTTTGTGTCCGCGAAGTCCGATGATCTAATTCTAACGCGTTTGATCAGCAGAACGCTCAATCTCCTAGGGAAATTGTCCATTTCTCCAAAGGTCAAAGAACACGAGTGGGCTGCCACTTAAATTACATAATCACGCCAAAGCATCAGTCTCTGTCTTCATCGTTTGTGCTCCCTGAGCTCCGAAAATGAATTTTGGCCTCGGCTTCCTCACCAAGTAGGGAGTGCGGATGATGAGGTATTGGGCAACCTCATCTTCCTCAAAATATATCCCACTCTGACACCAATGTGGGGGCCGAGGGGGGAGAAAAATTAAAAAATCTCGACAAACGATAATAGGTGATATATATCGTCATCGTCTCCCTTGCCGTTTGGATTGCCGAGCGGTAACAATCAGCATGTGAAAGCAGTTGAGCCAGAGATAGATGCTTCGTTTACAAACAACACAACCGTTTATTAAACACGAAAGAAGCTTACAATATTACTGCGATCTTGGAAGTTCTACGTCGGCTGCGGTCTCTGGGTCTTTCTCTCCTTTCCAAGACAGTCCCATTTTGAAGGAGTGTCCCTTGTTCGCGAAGAAACCATTCCATCACGTCTCTATGACTCCGGGACTATGCGGTCGACTTCCGTTGATGGAAAGTTGTCGATCCGAGGTCGGGAGATGGAGACGAAGATGGGTGCGAGACACACACACAACAACAGGTCCGTCACTTGGAACTTTCGGGAGAAGAAGCCGTCGCGTCCTCGAATTTCCGGGGTTTTATCCGTTTTCTCTCAGATTCCCCTTTTCGATTGGTCTCCCGTCGTCACCTGATGACAATTCGAAACCTTTCGGGAGCGCGGGAGAGGTCAAAATCGAAGTTTAATTCGATCTCCAACCGGAAATGGTCGACGGACTTACATTCTTCTATTGTTTAAAAGTTTTCTGTTGTCTAGCGTCGCGTTTTCATATCAAAAATCTATTTCTAACTAACATATTTTTTTCTTTAAAGCAATTATTTTAACGCGAATTTTAGTGAGGGTTCGGACCTGTCCAGAGCCTCACACTTTCATACAATTAGTTCATTTCTTAGATTTATTTTACATGTTATATAAATTTGTGGTTAGGTTTTATTTCGATTCACGATAGATTTTATACATGACTATTTAATTTCATTTTTAATATCGTTGTAAACGAACACTTGTTATTATTAAGTTTGATTAGAAAGCCATTATACTTTGTCTATTGCAACGTTCATGTTTGGAAGAGATCTAGAAGACACAAACCTAACAGAATATATCTTAAAATGTTAACAAACGTTAGTAAATTTTACTAAAATATTTTACGTTAATAAATTAATAAGACACCTTCATTTGTCTAATATTGACATTCACTTTTCTGGTAAGATACGATCCTATCGTATCATACCAGAAAAGTGAATGTAAATATTAACTCTGCAAAAATGCAAACTTTCAAATCTACAGACGTGTCGCTTGGTCAGCTGCGTAACCGCATAAGTATAGTACTAATATTTTTATTTGGTTTGATGGAATACGGGAGATTGCCAAAGAGGATGCCTCCCGGAAGGCTTAAACAAACTGCTAGTGTTTGATACTTTTAGCCAGCCGGCCTCTAGTTGACCCTGCTAAACAAGAGCTTTCTATGATAAACTGTTCCCTATTTAGGTGTTTAAACACTTGAACAACTTAAAACACGGAAAGTTCACGCAACTAGTCCCTTGTCAGCGGTAAACTCGGCCAAGAAATTTAGTAGTTTAAGCCACCAGTAGGGCGTATTTGTAAGAGGAGCATATATACAACATTATGTACATTTAAGACAATAATTATAAGTTACAATTACAAAAATTTCATGATTGCCATCTTCAACATGTTTTTAACTTTATAAAACTTATTTTCAGCGGCGGCCTTATCCATTGCGAGGCTCTGGGCGGCAGATCTTTGCGAGGCCCTTGTCCTTTGTGCAAAGTATGTGAATTGAAATAGTAGGCACTTATTAATATTAATATATACTGTACTATAAATTAAATTTATTTTATTGTTATAACTAATAGCCAAGGATAAAATAAAAAGTTTTAAATATCAACTTTTTTCTACTTGGTTGTTGCGCGAGGCCCTTCCAAGAGCGAGGCCCCGGGCGATTGCCCTGCTCGCCACCCCCTAAGGCCGCCACTGCTTATTTTATAAGCAAGTTTTTCTCAGTCGAAGTTCAAGTTAGTCAGAATTTACAAATACTTTGATATCAATGTTTTTCATGGTCTAAATAATATTTTTAATGTGTGTGAGATCCGAATAGTTCCTGAGTCTAATTAACAATTTAAATATAACGTTAAATTTTTAAAGTAAAATATTATTTCATTTTGGTGTGAAAATATCGTTTTTTTTTTAACTTGGGAAAACTGATAAAAGAGCCACTTCCTTTAACGAAAGCAGACACATCCTTCTGTTTTCCACTTATCTATCACAAATCTCACCACACTGGGAATTGCCGACCCCTCAATAATTCCCCATTTCATCCGTTCACGTGAGAGAATCCAAATATGCTGATTGGTCACAAATCATGAGATATAGTCACAGATCGGCATGATTCGAGGAGAACGTCGGGGAATCTCATATTGGAAAGAAGTTCCCATATTGTCTCCCTAAGGCCAACGTCCTTAAGGCTGGTATACACGGTAAGGAAATCCTCAAAGGATGTGCTTAACAGACGAAAAAAACTAGGATATAACTGGCTGGATCGAACATAGTAATTTACAAAACTTCTTAAAATATCTCCCAACGTATAAAAAATTATTTTTATTTAAAAATGGATAGATAGAAAAAAAAATCACGGTGAATCCTCAAAGGATTTCCTTACCGTGTATACCAGCCTTTAGGAGTACGTCGAGGAGAGACGTCTCCCACATATTGTCTCCATAAAGCCAACGTCCATAGTCGTATACAGTCAAGTCTAATAATGACTTAATTTAGGAGTAAAAGAAGAATATTTAATATTGTGCCATATCAAGACCTCTCCATGCAACGAAGTAGGATCATCGAATACAGATGAACATAAAGACAAAGTAATTTGAGGTAGTGTGATTATAAATGAATTTGTGAGCTCTCTCTCTCGAAGCGTATACAGTATTTAATTTTTCCATTGTCTCTCATTCGATTCATTTTACTTTTGAATAATTCCATTTGTGTAATTTTATTTACTTTTATTTTATTAAATCTTTTATTATTTGTTTAAAGATATGTCTCATCTTTGTCTGAATCACATCAATATTATCTCACACGCGTGTTAATCCGCGTATCTAAGTTTGATTAACTGGTGTCAAAGAATCCTGACGTAGATCGGGACTTCACAGTTCGGATCGGTTTAAATATTAATAGCCCTCCTAGAAAAAGATTAGAGATCGGATCTCTCGATCCGAAACTCCGAGAACTAGTTTTACCAACTAGCCGCCGAGTAAGCGATACAAGAGTATTAACTATTCCGTACCCCCGGCTAATCTCACATGTGCATAGACTATATTTAAACATTTTAATGTCGAAATTCAAACTGTAAACAAGATTTATTTTTATCATTATCAATTACGAAAGAAAGCAACTTATCGTTAAATTTTGCATAATTATATAACATGTAATCAGATTGATAATATATATTGTGACAAAAAAATAACAGGATATAGATAACCCCGAGGTGATGATTATCTTCTAGAGTAATAAATATATTTATTACTTTTGTATCTATTTTTCTTTATATAATTCTGCATATAAATATAAGAGCGTGTAGAGCTGAGGAAATTGAGAAGCCAAGAACATTCCTATCGGGACGTAAAGCAGCTGAAATATTTTAATCGTTCTTCCAGGTAAGCATTAAATTCTAGTATACGACTTAAATAGTATAAACATTTCTAAATGACAGTTTGTGCTTTTAAATTACATTTCACAAATTCCTATATTTTTCCATTATCATAGAAAATTTTAACTTACATAAATTTATTTAAAATATAAAATTTGTGTATTTTTTTCTATTTCCATATTATTGTATTTAAAAAATATAAATAATTAATAAAGAAGAATATTTGGATCGTATGTAACATATGAGTATCAATTTGCATTTGCATTGAAGTGTTTCATAAATTAATATTTTATAACAGTTAAAAAGTAATATTGTTTTGTTATTATTAAAGTATAATCTATTTTAATTAATGCATATAAGTTGAGTAATTTATTCTAAGTTGTGTAATAAATATTTCTTTCTATTTACGTGAGTTGAGACTCGAGTATTATGCACGAGTTGAGACTAGTTGCATTTAATATTATGAGAATATCTCTGCTCCTCTATTTTATATAATTTAATTACCGCGTGTTAAAGAGAGTATAAAATGGAACTTTCATCGGCATCGTAAAGACGAGAGCTAGAAAATTTGTATCTTTTAGCATTTGATTGAGCTGATCGTAAAATCGGTCAACTTGTACCTTATTAAATCCAACAACTATCGCAGTAACGGTTGAGTCTGGAGTTCTTACAACAAACCTGAAAATTTTTCTCAAAGCTATAAAAAATTTTTTTCTGCCATTCTCTTCTGTTTATTAAATGAATGGGGAATTTTTAGACTATCTAAATCGAACGCCAATTTTTAAAATTTCAATCTAGTTAGTAGCATTGGCCAGTTGTGTAGTTCTTTCATATGAAGTTGCATTGAATAGTGTTCGGAAAACGCTCTTTTTATTTTATCTTCGTTCCACTTGCCTCTTTTACTGGTTCTTCCTGTAAGTTATGGAAATTTTGTGCTGGTTTTGTAGAAAAGGAATTACATTGCTTAAGTAAAGGTTATTAACCGTAACAAAAAAAGGATATTCATCTTTAAAAATTGCAGCCAGGCATTATGAATATTTATATTTAATTTCAGGAAATATGAACGGAACAGCTGAAGATTATGAAAAATTATGCCCGAAATTTCAGCCTCGCTACGTAGAATCAGCTATAGATTCACACTTTCCGACCATGGAATGGTCCGATGAGGATATCATTTTGGATATTGGATGCGGCCCAGGAAGAACCACCAAAAATATTATTTTGCCAAAATGCCCGAAATTAAAGAAAATCGTCGCTATTGACATCATACCAAATTACATCGAGTATGCCAGAAAAACATATTTTGACGAAAAAATTGAATTTAAGATTCAAGATATCATTCAAACGTAAGTATACAAATGGAGAGCTTCTATCTACTATTTTTCTATTTTAACAGTAGTTTGGATTTACCTTATTTTGAATGGTAACTTGTTTCGATTACTTAACAATGGACATCACTCTCTTAAAAGCAGTAATCACTTTTTCATACCGCAATGCAGTAAAATGACAAAAACACATTTGTTCAAAAAATAAAACCTAACGTTCGTTTTCTGTTCTTTCCATTTTACTCTTATGTGAGATAAGCAGTGGGCCACGGGTAAATTCCCCAATTGACCACTTACTTTGCAGAGGCTAATAAAACCCGATCTCGGGGTCGTTGGATGGCTAGGAGGGCAAATCGAGTGGGGAGTGCGTCAGTAAGTCGGCAGGCGTCCTTAATTGACAGGAGACAGGTTTAAAACTAAACAAGCATTTATTATATAACTAACTAAGCAATACAAAAAGGTTACAATAGGTTGGCTATATCTAAGAATAAATGAGGATAACATAAGTAAGGTAAAATTTGGACAACGAAGGAAGATAGAAGGTCCGAATAGAGAACCCATCTCAACCATAGGTATGGCTGTCCCTATGTTCAAGTTTAGAGGACACAAGTTTTCCAACTCATGTAAAATTGTCCGCTCGAATACTATCGCTCCTTTCGAAGGCGTGATTGGAGGAACGCTTTTAGCGCAGGAGAAGATAATTCTCAACCGTGACAACAAGCGAATTATTTTACCAAATGGTAAAGTCAGTCATTTTTGTTCATGGAGAAAGAAAAAAAGGACAGGCCGTAGAAGAAAGACAACAGGTGACTGGACTGAAGAAGAGGCGAATCAACTCCACTTCATGCGCTCTACGCATCCCACAGAACAGTCACAGGTGATTCGAATTGTCCGAAATGACGTCAAAACAGAAATCAAAAGAATCAACGTAGAAACAGGGGAAACCGAACTTTATTCAGAGCAGACTTCCACCTCTCAAGAAGACCCGGAGATAGAGAAACAGAAGGAAGTGAATCGGGGTGAAGCCGAAAATCAAAACTCAACGCTTCAAACCAGCTTGAACATCCTTGCTAGCTGGATTCGGGCCGTGTTGATCATCATTTCCTTGATAGGAGGACCAAGCATGTCCATAGAAGATACACCGACACGATCGGAAGCAATTACTGATATCTCCCCTCAATCACGACCAAGTCGCATACCTATACCGATTCACCCATCAACAACACTTCCTAGAATTAGAGTAGGGCATTTAGAGAAAAAAAGTCTCCCCGCAAATCAAATATTTAGTAGGCAGTAGCATTAGAAATCCTGCATGCTTTAAATAGGCTTAGAAAAATCTAGCTAGGATTTAGAAATGGATAGGTCTTAAGGAGAGAGAGCATTCAGTTCCACAGATTTTTGCATCATTCGATTCTGCAACTTGAAACTTAGTGTAAAGTGAACTTTGTGACTATTCGACAATGCAAGTCCCGGATTCAACGAGGACTATTCAACGGAGACAGCTCCATCAACAGGAAGTCTACGTCACTCCAAGGTCAACGACTGCACGTCCAGAACATCAACAGTGAACTTTGAAACTCTCCCCATCAACTAATAGCCAACATCGACAACTGAGTCACCAACGGAACTGTGGCAGAAGGTCAACAACCTTCTTAAAGACAATTTATCCAGTTGTAAATCGCGTTGTGCATGCTAACAGCTCATGTAACGCGTCAACAGTCGAAACTGTTATTGTCGGAAAAGGTTTTGTTGTCAGAAAATTTTTATTATTGTCGTGAAACCCCATGTCAAAAAAAAGAGTATTCTAATGTTAAAATTATACTCACAAGTATAATTTTAAAGAAAGCGAAAAATGATGTGAGCTCGCGGATTTTTACAGGCTTCTTAAAAATCTAAATTTTCTGTTAATTATCTTCGGAGAAAACCCGAAGAATTTGTACTAGATTGGATTTCACTGATTGTATAACGACGAGCTGGGAAAGTTTACACTTAAGTGTGAAGAATGCACCGGCATCGTCAACAACAGTCGATGAGGTGTTAGCTCCCTCGCGACAATGATATAAAAATGAAGACCACCGGAAGCTCGGGAGTTCGCTCACGGAGGTTATATTGGGTCATAGTGATTTCACGTCTCCCGCCTCGGTAGAAGACATCGACCAAGTCCAACTCTGGCATAAAGAACTGCTGTCGCCACATATAGTACTTGGAGGTAATTATTTTGAACTAGCGAACTCTCTCTCTCTGCGCATATAGGAATAGTCGTTAGAGTAAACCCTTTAGAGAAAGGATAGATTGTAAATCGCCATAACCGTACTTATGTTATCCACTAAACTTAACATAAGCGTACTTATGTTAGGTTTAGTGGTCACAAGTTTAGTGGAACTTGTGTCCACTAAACTTGAACATAGGGACAGTCATACCTATGGTTGAGATGGGTTCTCTGTTCGGACCTTCTATCTTCCTTCGTTGTCCAAATTTTACTGTACTTATGTTATCCGCATTTATTCTTAGATATAGCCAACCTATTGTAACCTTTTTGTATTGCTTAGTTAGTTATATAATAAATGCTTGTTTAGTTTTAAACCTGTCTCCTGTCAATTAAGGACGCTTGCCGACTTACCGACGCACTCCCCACTCGATTTGCCTTCCTAGCCATCCAACGACCCCGAGATCGAATTTTACCAGCCTCTGCAGAGTAAGTGGTCATTTGGGGAATTTACCCGTGGCCCACTGCTTATCTCACATTAACAATGAACATCACTTCCTTTAAAGCAATAATCACTTTTTCAAACCGTAATACAGTAAAATGACAAAAACACATTTGTTCAAAAAATAAAACCTAACATCTGTTTTCTGTTATTTCCATTTTACTCTTATTATAAAAGTATATTAATTGTTTAAGAGCATTAAAACAGAAGCAAGCCCCATAATCTTTTTTCAAAAACATGTATCTCAAAATGAAATCAAGTAACAAAATTATACAAGAAAAAAATGGACAAAAAGTTTGTGTTAAAACGCCAATTCAACATCTTTTCTCGATATGTAATATTGAAACGATGAAGCCTCTTTGTGTAGACAAGAAGAATTGTAAATATAGTAATTGAACAGAGCAGTAGTTGTATCTTTTATCTTTTTACTTTTCCCGTTTAATTTTAATATTTAATAATTAATTTATTTCCATTCCCGACGAAACGGTTTTAAATCTTTTCTCACTTTAGATGCAGCCATTACTGTAGTGTTTCTCATCGTGCTCGTGTTGTATTTCGTGTATGAAGCAGCTCTATTGGCTACGGTGTTTAAATATAACTTGTTTTGCACGGAATGTTTCTTGGATTTAACTTAACTTGTATATAATAATAACGTATACAGTCATGCAAACAACAGGAGCATTACTTGTGTTGGCTTTATATACTATAGAAAGAAATCACAATACCGAAATTACGGTTTTTAGAAGCTTGTATATAACTATTTTGCATTTCAGCACTTCAAATATTGTTTTCACGTTTGTAAATACAGATTCTATCTGCAACAATATAAATAATTTTGAATATTAAGTGGAAGAACTTATAGATAATAAATACAGGTAACCCCCGTATAACACGGTAGTTACGTTCCAAAAAATTGCCGTGTTATGTGAATCTGTGTTATGCGAAACAAAGAACTAGTACGAAAAGGAGGGTTAAGTTCCAGAAATTAAAAAACATGCTACTATATTTTCATAATTAAGATAAATATCTTTATTAAAATTTTCTTAAGTGAAAGATATTACGGTAATATAAAGTAAACAATGTTTTCTTTGTCACCACTAAAAGCACTATTAAACGAGAGCGTTTTATTTTTGGCAAGTTATCGTTATCCTCTGAGCATTTTTCTGCATTATTTTCAGATTCATGCTTTACCTTTTGCAAAAAGTGTATGTAATTTTAGATTGCTTGCTTCTAGTTAAAAGATCTTTATAAATTTTCTTATATGGTGCTAAGCACTTATGGAATAAGGGAAAAACATCTGGCAACACCAGAAGCAGAAGCGTCGAGATATGGCAACATTTCATGTGTACGAGGGTTTTACCCATTTCTCGAACCGTGTCAGAGTGAATATGTGCTATAAAAGTACCGTGTTATACGGGGGATGGTAGCAATTCTCGAACCGTGTTAGAGCGAATCCGTGCTATAGAAGTACCGTGTTATACGGGGGTTACCTGTATATTTTAAAAGTAGATTTTATGATATAATAAAAATTGTAATTTGTAATTATAATTTCTAGACCCGATTTAAAAGAAATTGGAAAATACGATAAAGTTGTGTCTTTCTACGCCTTCCATTTCGTGAATGATTATGAGAAATTGTTTTCTGTTATTTCTTCAGTTTTGAAGCCCGGAGGATATTTTTTCTTCGTTATTTTTACAAAATGTCCATTGTTTCCGGTTATACAGGATCTTAGTATCAACGAAGAGTGGAAGAAGTACATAAAGGTAGCGTATGGAAATTTTCTATAAAACTAATGTCGAGGAGAGTTAAAAATGACATTTGATTTCAGACTGGAGATATGCTTAAGACAATTCCATTGATGGACGATTGGATCGATGCAGAATCGGAATTTAAAAATTCTCTTTCCAAGTTTGATTTGAGAGTGACAAAGAGTAAATGTGAAGTTTTACATATGCCATTTTCTGACAAAAAGCATTTTTTGGGTAAATTTTTAATATTTATTTACATATAACTTCATTTCTATTAACAGTAATTTTATCAAATTAGTTTTTTAAGTTACTAACATAAAATAATTACGAAATATTTTCGCATTGAATAAAAACTGCATCTGCATTAACATCATTGATGTTAATTTCTCTTATTGTTATTATTATATAACTATGAACCTCAAGCTGGAGTAAATTCCATCCACGGCTACTAAAATACAAGTACTGTATTAAATTCTTTATATTGGTGTGAAATATCTAAAAAGTACTTGACTATATGATGCATGTTTACTATTACTAGATCAAGTCCATATCAAAATCACTCCTAAATAAAAATCCCCGGAATGAATTTGATTAGGAACTGTAGAGCTACAGGTTAAACGAAATTTAGAATAATAAAAAGTTCATAATAACAACATGTTAATTATGAATTTTTAGCCTTCTTGGCGAAAAAAACGGGGAGAGATTGAAGGATTTAAGATTATAAACAAAAAATTACAGATAATACATATTAAAACATACAACAGACGTAGAATATGCACAAGAAAATGTCACATCATACTTGAAACAATGTTATAAGTAGTTTTCATTGTTTTGTAATACATCCTTCGCGAATTTTTGCTAGAATTAACTTCTTGTTTGTAAAATCTGTTTATTTATATGAATATTATATTAACAATAATCTGACGTATTTTTTATTAGTAAGCTCTTCCTTTATTGTATAATTTTATAATCAGAAAAAAGAATTTCTGATATAAGGTAACAAATCACTATGCGAACTTAAAATATGAATTATTTACCAAATAACAAACAAAGAATACCTCAAAGGCGTGCGTACAAATTTATATTATAACGAAATACAGAGAATATTAGAAAAAAACTTTGTATTAAATGTATTATGATAACACTGTGAGTACATACTAAACTATCACAATAGACAAGAAATTACATTCGCTGACATATAAAATATTTTACATCAAATACATTTTTTACCCTAACTACACTTTTACCCTATACAAAATACTTAAAACTCTCCAATAATTACCCCTAAAAACTGGATAAGGAATTTATTGTCTCTAGCTCTATGTATCATAAGTGACATACCACGACAATAAAACACATAATTTAAGGTAAAAATAACACGAAAACAACGAATAAAAGAAAAATCGCATTTATTGCTCGACTTCGGCATCTTAAACATGGCCACCAGATTTGTCACGCGAGCATTGCTTTCATGCTTTTTTGCTTCCACACTCTTTTAAGATGCACTTTAAAGCAACATCATGAGCACTAAATATATAGGCCTAATACAATATGCAGTAATTATACTAATACGTAGCACGAATTTTAATGAAGGGTGTCATACACTTAAAAAGTTTAATTCCGTATATTCATGCTAAAATGCATTTTGACCTCTGGTGTTAATATTAAATTGATTTTGAATAAGTCTTTCAATAGTTCATAGATATAATACTGTAAAAACAACACAATATGATTTAAAAGGCTTACACACATTTCCATACACAGGCAACATCTTACCTTAATTTATACTCAGTTATAAGAAACAGAATATGATGTATTTGAGTGCGATTTAACTGAATGTACAGTACTTCTCTTCTATCGAATGTAAACACATAAAATTTTGCTTTACCATAATTTATTTTCTTCTAGATCTATTATTCGCAGTATTACCTAAAGCACTCTTTCAAAATATGGAAACGGATGTTAAAAATCGCCTTTTGAAGCAGGCCGAACAGATCATTCTCAAGTATGTTTCTCAAAAGAAAAATGGTGAAATTTCGGCTCCTTTCGAATTTTTGCAGGTTTCAGGAATAAAGAATAAAACTTAAAATTAAGAAAACAATATATGCTCGATAATACTATATATCTGTTGTTTATTTTGTATTTTATTTTCGTTAATATAAATAATAAAGGAAGTTGGCAAGGTTTCTTGCTCGACATTACCGGCACTCGATTGGCTTATTTATTTACAGTAACGCGACACATGGGCGATCTGCAGAGGGGGAGTGTATTCCGGGAAGACTTTTACGAGAAACTGGCACTTATCTGTGTATTTAAACGTAAAGCAAACCGGGAAAATATCGCGTGGTTTGACTGTTGGCGAGGCGCGAATCCTCGACCAAGTACTACTCTTCAATGGTCTTATTCATTCAGCTACTGCTGGGTCCCGGCACTCGAATGGAAATTCTGGCGACCAGTAAGTGCGATATTTTTAATTATAATGCGATATACAATTTTAAAAATCATTTGGACTTGCAGTACGTGGCGTCTCGAAGCTTTTTCCAAAAACTACGTATTCAAGTGGCTTTCTCCAGGGGAATCATTCTTAATTAACTTGCATGATTACGGATGACAAAACGTGGATTTAGTCTTTTGCCACCTAAACAGCTCAACAGTGAAATGAATGATGCTGGATAATGGAAAACTAAACAAAAAAGTTGAAATAAATTACTACGTATTAAATAAATTAAAAAGATAAGAAAACTGGTTGAAATATTAAACATTCCAACATCACGCAAACCATGTTGATGGTTTGTGCGATGGAATGGAATTTCGAATATAACAAAGTTAAATATGAATAAAAAAACACGAAACAACATTAAAGAGATGAACACTACACAAAACCAAAGTCAAATTAATAATAAACGACGAAACATATAATGTGATGAAGTTTGTAGTGGATGCCTTTGTACCTGTACATTATACTTTTCGTTTAACAATAGAGTGGTGCAGGTCATTATCAACACCTTTTATGAAAAATTTTTGAATTGAAATAACATGACTTCCGGTTTGACTCGGAAGTTCATATATATATATATATATATATAGTTAATAGGGGCCTCATGTCTCTAAGGTATTTATATCTCGTTTCGTCTTTCATCTATCTAACTGCGTACTTAAGATTAATTAAGGAAGGACGGATGGAAGGACGACAGTGGGAATTTTTCAAATTTTAAAAAAATATGACACACATTTTTATAGAAAACTAGGAAACTTTTTTCTCCTATGATATTTCCAATATTATAAATTTCTTAGGCTTCGAGTCGTTGTGTATGTTTAGGTCCTCTCAACGTGGCGGTGTATTCATGTTAGCTTTTCGTAGTCAACTAAACGTGCTCAAAATCTATGAATACAAAAACTCCATACTTGCGATTAAAATAAACAGATTTCGGTGTATTTTCATCATTCGGTGTATCCTAAGCGTAGTACTATTTTTACTTATCTCGAAAGATTTCTCTTTTCTCTTTGTGTGCCAAAATATTTCGACATCGTTATCTGTGGGGATTATAATTTAGCGAATATTTCGTGGTTCACTTTGTTTCAAACATACTCCCATCTTGATAGTCTGAAATATTTCTTTATAAATTATATACATTACTACTTTAAATTTAATTAACACGTTTATTTCTCATTCAAGCAAACTTCCTTTCTTGACCTAATGCTTTCTGTATACTTTCAAATAATCTATGGCTATAAATCTGATCATCCCGCTATCCAATATACTATTTCAAAGTTCATGATGGAATAATGTCAGCATTTGTATTCCGAATTTGTCGCCGATGAATTGGGCTTCGCTCTCTATCTGTCTCACTGGAATTGACTGGTCTTTTTTTATTAATAACTCTTACAGTATTAAACGTAAAACTCAATATACTTATTATCTTCTTGCGTATTCTTTAAATAAATTTCTACCGTAAAAGAGAATAACTTTATAGTCTGTGAAGATTTTACGTAATGATATCAGATCTCTTTGGCGCAAATGGAAAAATAATGGAACCTTTTATATTCACCATAGTACTTTAAAACATTATCATAAAGAATGTAAAACTCAATTCTCTAAGTCCTTTCATTAGAGGCCGGATGGCCGAGCGGTCAAGATGGCAGCCTACCGCTTTGGGGCACCCGGGTTCGAATCCGAACGGGTCGAAAAATCCCCAGGAATTTTTCGGGGATATGTCGGGCCCCGTCCTCACCACCCGACAGCCCCATTGTGGGCCTGGCCGAACCCATAATGAGCTTGCAAAAAGAGCCCCTCTTAGTGCCCACAGGGCAGAAAGAGTTAAAAAACAGTCCTTTCATCAAATTGTGCTGAATTTGGGTCCGATTCTAAAACCTTTCGGAAATTCGTTCTAAATTTTCTAAACCCAAGCCAAAACGCCAGTATAGGATTGAAGGCAATAAGATTTACGATGTTAAATCCGGATTTTTTAATACACTCCCAAACGCACACTTTAAACCATTCCAATCATGTTTTATTAATACAAACCAGTTAGGTCACACCTCCTCTCGTTCCTTTTTTACTTTTTCAGTTCTCTGCGATGCTATAAATTCTTCAGTGAATTCTACCAACAGCCCAGATAACATCCCTTTTATACTTTAGAAAAATTTAACAGCTTTCTTTGTCTCTGTCTTTCTTCGCTTGTTTCCTTTGAATCTTGATCTTGTGTTTGTATTCACAATGGACGCATCTGTAGTTACCGTAATTCCTAAAAAAAGAGTCTGACTTATTTCGTCCTGTTTTTCTTGCTCCAGTCACGGTAAAACTATTTGAAATCTGCTTGAATCATTCTATGTATTACTTCTCCCATTCAATTACTTCTCCCATTTCTGCTCAACACTAAGGCATAAACAATCGTTCTACCAGTAGTGATCTCCTAGAAATGCAAAGTGTAATTTTAAACAATTTTAAATTAAAACGTTGTAGGAATATAGTTTACATAGACGAATCCAAAGCATTTGACTCTGACAGTACAAAGTAATAAAAACATAACAAGCAATTATAATCAAAATAAAATTAACTTCCTTACTTTTACGTAATTTTTATTAGCCAATCGCCATCAACGAAAAGCGATGGTTGACCAAATATAGTACAGTTAGATTGATAATATCTCACAATAGGCTATTCAATCGACGACATTGTCATAAACACGTCTTTTAGATGTCTGTTATGAGAAAGATCGACAGGTATTGGAGCTCTAAGAATGATTGACATCAGCTAACCGACTGGTCGACGAATAAAATTCAGTATAAGCGAAAATATTAATATATCTGACTAAGACGTTGATTGGATGTTAGAAAAATATGTCAGAGCTTCGCGGGTACGTTAAACCAATTAGGAGACCTATTCTTAGCTCTACCGATAACACGCCATTTTCCCGTTCGTGTCACTAGTCAATCCTTTTCATACCGCAACCATAAAGCAATTGAAAATCTGCAAAACAAGTTTTACCTAGATCTGCACAGATTTAAAGCCATTTATTATGATTAATGGTTTTAATGTTTAAATACGCGTTTATATTTATATTTTAAAATATTCCATGAGCTTTAGCTGGGTATGTTATCTAATTGTTGTACCGGGGAAGGCCCTTATTATATACGAGACATCGCCGTATTCTCTTTTAAAAATAAACAAATCACAATTTCATTTAAACATCTCTACATTCTTTGGTATAGTAAACAAATTAATGAATACATAATTCATGTAAAATGCATGCATATTTTAAAACGTCTTATAAAATGATATAATAGCATCATAAAATATGATTTTATGCATTATAAACATGCATAAAATGCATTAAGTTGTTTACCATACTAAACAAGTAACTGCAAAATAAATTAACTCGTAACGTATTGGTAATAAACATCAGTTTAAAAGGAATGACGGAATTTAATTTCGTTTTTCATAAAGCTACTTCATATGCAGGTAAAATTATGAGTGATCAGAATTCTTCTTACTTAACCTATAGTTAGGAGTAAGTAACTATCCCATTGTTTTATAGTTTAAGCCAGTGCTGTAAAATGAATTCGAATATCCAAGAGGAAATTTGCATGAGTTGTTTCTTGAGACCCTGTTGGACAACAGCCCTTATATTCGGTTTCGATATGTACAGAATTTGTCCCTGTAAACAGCGAATATATTTTTTTAAAAATCAGAAAGTAAAAAAACTCTATCTTCAATGTGTTCAGTTTCTATTATGGCAATTTTCTGCTCTCTTCTTATGGCAATCGTTACCAGGTTTAAACGAATATGCCTTGTGTCTTGGATGGTACGAAGTATTTAAGAAGGATGCTAAAATAATGAAAACTTCATTTCTATTTATATTCTGCAGCTACTCAATTATCCTGACCTTCATCAATAGAAATAAGCTCAATCTAATTACTAAATTGAAAAACAGATATTTTTATGAGAAATTCATTTTCGAAAATAATACTCTAATGAGAAACGTCTCATTTTTTGTTTCGTTCATTGTAATAACATTAACGATTCTTTATCAAATTCTCAATCTGACTGTTTATTATCCGGCTCTAGTAAACAGAGAACTGTTTCGATTTGAAGCTCTTATTTGTACAGTTGACACGGCATTTGTAACGAGTTTAACTATAGGAGGAATTTCGTATGGTTTACTGTTAGGCGCTTTATTTATACTTGTTCTCCAGAAAGAATTTGAAGAACTTAATTACGAAATGTCTACGATAAGAAGAAGCGATAGAAATTTGAAAATAAAATTACAAAATTTGATGATTCGTCACCAAAAATTGTGGACTTATATGAATCAGTTGAACACAAAATTCGAATTGGCTTTCGTAATTGTTTATTTCGGAGTAATTTGGGTAACGAGCTTTTTGTATTACGCATACTTGTACGTCGATATGCCTTGGATTTTTAGAATTTTGGAGATTTCACTGATGATTGTTTTTTCGTTCAACTGCATTATCTGTGGCTGTTTGCTATGCTGCATCGCCTTCACGGTACTCGTTATTTACACTTGATCAATTATTTTCATTTTTAAATCTTTAATTTAATTTTCGATTTATTAATATAATTTTAACTATTTAGATGCAGAATGGATTTCAAGACATTCGTCAATTTGCAATCTGCCATTTGGAACTGGAACGAAAGCTTAAAGTACAGATTTATTTTCATTCTACTTATATTGTAATTCGGTTT